TTTGACAGAATCAACCATAACATTTTGATTGCGAAACTCATAGCCCTTGGAGTAAGAAGATGTTTGATCCCATGGATATGTGATTTTCTTTCAAATCGTCGTCAGACAGTGAAGATTAATGAGTCTTGCTTGGAGTGGGCTTATGTAAATGGCGGTGTCCCTCAAGGAACAAAACTTGGCCGTATCTTGTTTTTAGTTATGATTAATGATCTGAAAATGAAGTCCACAAACTCCTCTCATTGGAAATACGTTGACGATGTAACGATTTCTGAGGTTATAAAAGAAACTGAGGAATCGCGATTACAAACTGAACTCAATGAACTCCAACAATTGGCATGTGAGAATGATATGAAACTGAATGGGTTGAAATGCAAGGAAATGGTTGTCAGCTTTTTACGACAAAGTGATAACTATACTCCATTACACATTAATGATCAACAATTGGAACTGGTTACATCTTTCAATATTTTGGGTTTGACTATTAATAATCACCTTAAATGGAATGATAACGTTGCAATTATCGTAAAAAAAAGCGTCGAAACGCCTTTACATCCTTCGGGTGTTGCGTCGATCTGGAATTCCATCCGCTGACTTGCTCTCAATCTATAACGCCTTAATCAGATCTGTTTTGGAATATGCTTGTGCATTCTGGCATACCAGCCTACCTCAGTATCTTTCCAACAAAATTGAACGGGTGCAGAAACGTGCTCTGCGAATTCTGTACCCTTTCACTGATTATGTGGAAGCCCTATCTATCAGTCGTTGTTCTCGCCTTGATGATAGAAGGCAGTCAATATGTCAGAATACCTTACAAAAGATTGCTAAGCCTTGCTCGAAACTGTACCACTTGTTGCCGTCAACTCGCGGAAACGTCCATGGACGGAGTTTGAGAAATAATAATCAATTATCGCTTCCCAAATGTAGAACTGAGAGGTTTAAGAACAGTCATTTTATCCCGGCAATGTGCTATAGTCAAGTTGACGTATAGGCCTTTATGGTCTCAACTTGTATATTAGGTTTTAACATTTATATTAGATATAGTAATTCATATTTTAGCATTTTTGTAAATTTTAGTATTTCCATGTAAGCATATTGTAATTCATTTTCAATGCGATAAAATGCAAATAAACCATTAATAATAATAATAATAATAATAATAATAATAATAATAATAATAATAATAATAATAATAATAATAATAATAATAATAATAATAATAATAATAATAATAATGGAAACTTTATTTTGACATTTTATGTATATACAATTATAAATCTCACTAATTAAGGTAATTTATAACTGACTACTTGAACTATTATTGATAAAACTATATTACAGGTATAAAACTAAGAGAAAGGTCATTCTTAAATGTTCATCAAGTCCGGATCGGTCCAATCCTTGTTTCTACAACAAAATATATAGTACGTTGTTCTGATGGCGATGGACATTATTTTCTTAACACAAAAGTTCTGATGTTTTTTATCAAGACCAACTTCGTTCAACATTTTCATAAACGTGTTACATTCTTTTGAGAAAGCACCTAAGGCACTAATAGACAAATTAATAAATTTGACAGTTTTGAAATGGTCTTTCTGCTGCGTAATTAGATCCTTGTATCTTTCCCTTTTGCGATCGACGTTGTTTTGGAGATTGGATTCATATCCGACAGAGAGTTCGAGTATGTACAGACAATCATTTGAAATCGAAAGAAGCAGGTCTGGGCGATAAGTGTCACCGGTTATTATTGACGGGCTCTTGTATCCAGGAAGGTCAACAAATAGAGTGGAGTTGTGGTCAGGTTGGAATATTTTTGAGATAAAATTGAGAATGGAGTCATGTCTCCAAGTAAATCGTGGAAGGTATGACTGGCATCCCGCGACCACATGCAGAAGGGTTTCAGGGTTCAGGCAGAGGGAACAATAATAATAATAATAATAATAATAATAATAATAATAATAATAATAATAATAATAATAATAATAATAATAATAATAATAATAATAATAATAATAATAATAATAATAATAATAATAATGAAAACTTTATTAAATGGATAGTTAGCTTATATATACAATTGCAAATCTCACTTATATCAGGTAATTTACAACTGGCTACTTAAATCACTGATTATATATGCAAAAATTATACTATTAAGATAACAAAATGACAGTACAACGTTTAGACACTTAACAGTTCCGGATTCATCCATTCCTTGTTTCGACAACAAAATATGTAATACGTTGTTCTGATTGCAATCGTCGTCATTCTTCTAATACAGTAATTCTGATGTTACTTTTGAAAACCAAAATCATTAAGCATTTCTATGAAAGTAGAACATTCTTTACTGAAAACACCAAGAGAACTAATCGAAAGATTTACAAATTTTACTGAGTTGAAATGTTCATTTTGTTCCCTAATTAATTCTTTATATTTTAATTTTTTACGCTCAACGTTTTTTTGAAGATTTGATTCGAAGCCAACTGTAAGTTCAACAATATAGAGTGTTCCGGTTGAGGTTGAAAGAAGCAAATCTCGACGGTAGGTGTCACCAGTGATGATTGATGGACTTTT